CAGGTAAACCTCAGGAAAACCAAAGGTCCTCATTGGCACAGTTGTTTGTCACAGTCACCTTCACCTTTATAAGCTGGGTTCCTCACTTGAAGAAAATCTCCCCTGGCACAGTTGGGCAAGTATTTCAGTGCCAGCTATTCTCCCCAGCCACTGTGGACCGTGCCAGCACACCGGGAGACACACAGCACGAGCAGCAGTCCAGCTGCCAGCCAGTGAACAGACACGCAGGGCATGGCAGAAGGACAAGAGGTACTGAGCACAGACTGAAATACAGGAAACTCTGTTTAAACACAGAGATAAAAACCTTTTTAACTGTGAGGGAGTGGGTGGTCGGATGCTGGAGCAGGTTGACCAGAGAGGAATGTCCATTCTTGGAGATGCTCAAAATCCCCTGGGATATGGCCCTGAGCAGCCTGCTCCAGCTGAGTCTGCTGTGAGCAGAGGACTGGAGCAGATGGTCACCAGAGGTGCCTGCCAACCTCAGCCCTTAATGTGGTTCTGCAAGCTAAGAGATGGTGAGAACACAAGACTTGCCAAAACATAAGCCAGATTTTTGTTTCCCCACACACAAGAGAATGTGAGTGTCTTACAGGAAAAACTGGTTGAAAATGGTTTCAACTAATTCAAATGTTTGTTTTCCAACATACTGTAGAGCTAAATGAAACAAAGGAAACGAGGAGCTGACCCACTGGCTGCACTAGTGAGCTTGAGAAGAATGGAGTAAGCAATAAAACAAGACCGAAGGACTAGGGACAGACAGGGATGCTTGGCTCCACTTCACAGCTTCCATGAAAAGGCAGAGATAGTTATAAAGGCATATGCAATAACTACAGAATTACATAAAACTATATCCATGGTATAGCCAAATGACACTCATCACGCCCTACTCTGAGAAAATAAAGATGGAGAACTCTGCATTGCAGATAAATTCTTATTTTAAAATGGAGGAGTGTGAGGGAGGAAAAAAGAAATATGCTAAGCAGAGAAAAAGTGAACAGTCTCTGTATAATTGAAAATAAAAATATGTAAAATACTATTTCATCAGTGTTCTCTTTTAAGCTCTAAAAAGAAAAAAATATTGTGCTTATCCATGACACAAATACACATGTATATTCACAAAAATACACACATATCAATGTATTTCAAAAATACGTTGAACAATAATGTCTAAAATAAGAATACAGAAGATAATTCTTGGTAATATTCAACACTTAAGAGTTCTTTACATCCACAGAAAGTGCTGTATAACCAGTCACTAATTATGGTAGGTGAAAATATGCTGACTTTGACTCCAACATTATCCTGACTTCAGATTCAATCAGAACTACCATGTCTTGCCAATAATAATTAGCTTTGCTGCTAATTCTTACAGCACAGTCTCCAGGTCAGCACAGTGTCTAAGCTCTCTGCATGAGCAAGCAAGGGTGTATTTCGATTCTGCAACTTGTTTGTACAATATTAATCATAACAATATTAATCATAACTAAGCAAGCTATAACCAACACTGTCAGATGCACCAGTGTGAACAGTAACAGTATGACACAGCAAAGGAGAGGTTGACCAGCTTTAATACATTAAAGTATCTTTATATTTGAGGATGTGTGATATTTAAAAACCTTTTTATGAACGCTAGCATTTGGGAAGAATGGTTTTTCAGTTTTCCTTAAGGGCGGAACACTGACAAAGAATGAGCCTAGGTTTAGAATTGCTGATGCAAACTGCAATAATATATTTCATCCAAAATGCTTCTGCACTCCTAGAAAATAATTATGACTTCCAGAACCACAGAACCATAATAATAACAACACTAATTATTCCAATGAATCCAAAGCGAACTAAAACTATGCTATTAATTTCATCATAAGTCTAAAATATGCCAATTTGGACAGGATCTCCATTGTACACTCTATAAGCATATTGTTAATCGCTTATATTTCCCATGAAAGATGCAATCACCTGACTTAAAATTTGGTTACAGTATCATGTTTGAAACTCCAGGTTTAGATGGTTGAACAATTATGTCTTTAATTAATCATTATTTGATGGCACAGTAATAACTTCATTCAGCCAACTACATAATACATAGCAATCTTCAAGTATGGATTGAAAACTGCAAAGCATGCCCTGAAATTTTATGGCTTATTAAATCCTCAGAAAACCACACAGCTATGCCCTTCAGCCATTTATTGATCCGACTGACACATCTGTGTGCCTTGCTCCTGCAACCCACCATGCTGGTTTAAACAAGCACTATTACAAACAGCAAATGACTACTAAATTTACAGAACAAGGTATTCTACTGTTCAAGGTATTCTAATATTCTATCTATCAGATATTCTTAGAAGTATTGTTCCACACAGCTTTGAAGACAGTTCTGCATGCATCAAGTTGGTCTGTGATTACAGAGATACCAAACCATTTTGCATAAAGTAGAAAGCTGCTTAACATTATGATCCTTCCAGTCACTGCCCTCACTTATTAAGCGCACATTCTGAAAAAAAACTGTTACAGAGTAAGCTCTATAAGGATCTGGCTTGCCATGCAGTTGGGGCTTCTTGGTTTCATGCTGCCAAAGTTAAGTTAGACACTTCAAACGTACCTGGTGCTTTTTCAATGCCATCCTAGGGTGTCATTGCTTCAGCTGGCACAGAATAGGATGAATCTTGGCTTCACTGAAGTCAACAAAAAACTTCATTGAGTCAAGATATCATACAGTTGTGAACAGCTGTTTAAATTATGACTGTCTACCTTCACAGTACTAGCTTATTCCATAGCATTCTCTGGAGTTCTTTCCACAACAAATTATGGCAGATAGCTCCAAGTTAAATTTCACTTCAAGAATAAAGAAACTACAAAAATGCATATTCAGTCTTAATTTTATTAAAACAAGATTTGTTCTGCTGAAGGAATGAATGAATTCATAACTGCAAAACAAACAAGGAACAAAACCTTTGTTTCTGGGCATGCTCAGAGCTATGCTATTACAAATTTTTCTGAAAAACATTATCAGCAATGCTGTAATTCATAGCAGATAAATCATTAAAGACAAAAAATCTGGGATTTTAGTTACATTAGTGAGACACATTTTACTTTTCCTATCTGTCCCCAAAACACCAACAGCTGAAACACTTCTCTTTCCAGTATGAATTCAGATACTCTGTTCTCAGGCAGAGCTGACCCTAAGGGACAAAGAAAGGAAGACCACTAAAGAAATCAAGAATCATCCTGCTGCTCCTGTTTCCCACTATTCAGTGAAGTAAATAAGACTCCTGAGCACAGGAGCACAGGTACCAGCCTGCCCTCTACGCTTCAGATCAGGATACCATCCTCTTCTGTTTACCTGTCACTGATTTACTTCCAAAGAGAATACACTGTCCTGTAATTTAGCTCTTTACAATATTAAAAAATCCAAATACATGACTGAGAAAAAAAATGGAAACAATAAACCTGAAATTAAATGAGCAGAAGATACAAAGAAAGAACATCCAGCAATAGCACTGGACAAGTTTGTAATATTGCTGTATCCTTACAAACTCACAATGTGTCAAATCCACAGACAGCAGGGACAGAGAAGCAGATAACAGATTACAGCATCAAGCAAAAGTATTGCAAAATACATTACCAAGAACAAGAACATGAAAACCACAAAAACACATATTCTCATTTGGGCACAAATTTTGCATGAAACTTAAACACAACTTCAGATTAAGTTATAGTCTCAAACAGAAACACCTCATTTTATCCGAGTCCCAGAGAGGAATACTTTCATAATACAATTACAACAACACTGGATGCAAACTTGTCAGAAAGAACAAGAAAGCAAAAAATCCTATCAGAAAATTAACTGAAGAACTACTTGGTGCAAGTGTAAGTATTGGGGGCTTGCTATTCCATGTTTGGTTAGCACCTAGCACAGTACGACTCTGGCTCACACTCATGGTTCACAATACTAGTGAATAATAACAACCTAGCAATCTTAGAATAAGATTGTTTTAAAAGGTTGAATGAGTACTTCGTGTGGAGAGAGATTTTTTAAAAAATACGAAATGTATTAAAACCAAAAAAACCTATGAACTTGCAGAAGGTCAAAATTGCATATGCACTAAAGAAAAAATTAACATTTTTCTCAGCTATTGTAAAATATCCTGGTTCTTACTGCTGTCAATCAGAATAAAAAAGCATGACTTTATTCCTCTTTAATCCAGTTATCTTTTCTTGCTTCTCTATATTAACACATGCAAACATACTGACAAAACATCTTTGTCCACTAACATTAAAAAAAGAAAAACAAACCAAACAAAACTCAAAACAAAAAAATCTCACCCAAACCAAACAACACTCCCATCAGCTTCAGAGAGAAAGTATTTCAGCTCTCAAGTTTGCCCTTTGTGTAGACTTCACAATCATGTTTTGAAGTTTCACGCTGCTAATGAAACAACAAGGTATTCAAACAGGGTAGCAGAATATGTATTATTTATCTAATAGGAAAGTGCTTGTCTATCTCTCAAGACCCCAGAAAACTTCCCTTTTCTCCTTCTTGCACATGATATCGAGTGTCTCTGAAATAATTTATGTTTTGCACATATGTTCATCAATTCTCTTTCCAAAGCAGTTTCTGTATTTACTTCTCCTCTCACTGTCTCTCCTTTTTTTCCTAGTAGTCATTGAGCATGCAGAGAAGAGGTTTCTGAACACTCAGAAGTGAGGCACAGAATAACATCCAAACCTACAGTAAACCTTATTTTGACACTGTCAACCACAGAAATTTTTCCAGACTTGTATCCCAAATCTTATCCTTCTAATAAATTGCTACATTTCATACTTTTTTTCATTTTTCTTTTTTTTTTTTAAGGAAAATATGTAACTACTTACACTTTTATTTAAATATAATACACTTTTATTCTAAAAAACCACCCTGACAAGGGGGTCTATTATTAAAAACAAAACAAAAAAAGGCATTACAGTCTAAAAATATTAGTCATTTTATAGTCCTCAAGATATTTTTATTACTTAAGATTTCAAGGAAAAGTTGTGTACTGGAATAAGACAAACTTAAAATTAATGAGTATGGAGAACAGTATTTTGACTCTACACAAATATGCACTAGTGATCTTAAAGTACAATGTGCACTAAAACTTATTCACACATAAAACAATTCATGCTCTTCATGTGTAAAATACTGTGAAAAATAAGATGGAAGAAATTGGATAGGAAAACATTCGTGTATCATAAAAATATGTCAGAATGGGACCTATCTATAGAGTTAAAGCTTTGCTTTACAACAAACTTTATTTAAAAATCTTCTTTTGCTTTATCTAAAAATTAGCCTTTCTATAAAAACCATTCCTTTAAAACTTTGCTTTAAAAACATCAGTTTTATATTAGACAAAATATTAAATTATACAGGCACAGTTAGTTAAGAGGGCTATAAGAACTTACATTATAACCCTTCATTTTCCAGTGACTTGCAATACAGTCATAAGATTCTGTGTCTACTGACAACCATAGGAAAATTCATCCATAGAAATAAACTTTTATTTAAAAAATAAAATAAATTAAACCAAAACAAATAAATCTGTCAGACCATATTTGACTTGTAAAGGAACTTTCCAGCTGACACATGCATATCTTCTATTTAACTTGGGAAATATGCATATACATTTAAAAATATCCCAAAAATATTCTTTGAACATGTGGTTTATGATGACAGCTTTTACATTTCCTTCACATACTGTATATTAAAATAAACCATTTCCAAGTCCACCTTTATCTCAGTCCAAATCAGTGATCCTTGACACTTCAGAAAATGAATTAAGAATAGTTTTGTTTTCTGAGGGGAAAATGCACATACACTATGTTCACTGGCAGAAACAGCAGAGTCTGAGCTTTTCCATGTTTTTTGCATGTTCTGAAAAACATATTGTACCACTACAGAATATACAAAGACCTCTAAAGTAAAATAGATTATACAATATATCAAATGGAAGATTTAAAAACCAAAGTCCTGATTGTGATGATGTTTAATTACATGCTTAACTTACTACAAATCAGCAATTAATCTTGGGTTTTAGAGCAAAGAGACACCCGCAAGACTGGGGGTTATGTCTCCTAAACACATTAAATAAGCTATCATAACAACTACTAAAAAAAAGAAAAAAACTAAATCAAAATACCATGGGGATTTTTTTGCCATAAAACCATACTGATTGGAGCATCAGTGGCCAAGCACAAATCTCTATGGAACATAATTTTAATTCACCTAAATATTTAAAAAAATATTTGAACTCTAATACATTTACGTGGATGATACTTTAGGTTTATTTAAATATTTATTTGTTTGCATTATTACTTTTCCATTCCCCCCAATAAGGAATGTGAAATTCACCTATAAACTTTATCAATAAACTACTAAAAAACAAACAAAAAACCCCCAAATCTAAGCCTATATTTCTTTTGGAATTTGAAATTTCACTTTAGCCACCACCATTTGAACAGTTCCCTAAAGAGACATATTTCCTTACCAACATGGTCCATTATTGCTTGATGAGAGCCCACAGTGACTTTTTGTTCAAAACAACTGCTTTGGACATGGTTTCAGGAAAAAAGTCAATACAAAAACGTGTAAAATTACATTTCATTTCAAGAAAGCACTGAATTGATCTGAATTGTATCATACTGTATTAATTTTAATGCCATTCCACAGGCAAGTATATATTACGTGTTGAAGAAGGTGCGCATATAGACAAACACAAAATACATACACAGAATTCAGCCCAAATTGATGTATCTTCATTTAATTTCTAGCATAACAACCAAGTCATTTTTTGCACTTTAGAATTATGTGAAGAAATTAAATTAGGCACAATTAATTAACACAGCTTCTAAATTACCTTATTATAGTGCACTGTCACGCACTGATAATACCATAAAACCAATATGATACTATTCAAGGTCATTTTGCTGATGTACAGGTGAAGTCTAGTAAACAGGATTCTAAGTGCTTTTAACTCAGATCTACAACTTCTGCAGCTTTACACAGTAGAACAGTGCAATACATTATGTCCCCACATTCCAGGAACAAGAGCCGAGTTTACAGTTGTGTTTGTTTCACATTAGACTGGCTTTGCACTTTCTGGAGCTCTAGCACTTCAACTGCGTTGTCCACGACCTCCTTTTTTCCCCTCTTTCCTTTTTCCAGGTGCTGGCTATGAAAGAAGAAAAAAAAAAAAAAAGTTCTTTTGGTAGCTAGCTCTCACCTGGCAGAACAAGACAGTTTCGAAGTAACGGTCCAGCAGTTGTTCTTCGAGAGGGTCGGTTCACAGTGCTAGGATGACCCCTATCTCCACTTACTCCCCAGTTCCTGACTTTGGAGGAAGCTCGCTCTGGTTTCTTGGGAAAAGATTCTGATGTGACTTTCTGCCTCTTTTCAGGAATCCCTGTTACAACTGTTGAGCTCAGAAAGGCCCTTTTTGGTTTACTCCTCACCTTTAATTTTTTAGCATCAGGCTTTTCTTTCTTAGGGTGCTTTCCTACTGTAGTCTTCCTTGTCTGGCACCTATGGATGGAGAAAGCAGATTTCTGGGCACAAGGATGAAGTTGTCTTCTCAACCCCTCTTTTTGCTGTTTTTTAGTTCGGGAAGTCTGTTTGCCTGCGGTTACTCTGTTTCCTCTCCTCCCAACAGTACGTGTGACAGACTTAGATCCTGAAGCCTTTCTGGAAAAAAATGGTTCTTTATTACTGCCTTCTTTTCTCTTCCATATTGCCTTTGGATTCTCCCTCTCTAACCACTCACTCCTGATGGAGGTCAGAGGAGTTTTGGTAATTCTATTAAACGGAATTAATCTACAATCTCCTTCTACCACAGAGTTCAAAGGTGAAATGATCAAGTGTTTAAAAGAGTTCTCGGAGTGACTAGACACAAGACAATCTGTTCTTTCTGTGGAAACAGAAGATCCATCTGCCTTTTGACTTGAGGCTGTATCATTCCCTTTATCTGGATCTGTCAGGAAAGATGCTGAAGATGAACTATAGTAGTCTGACCAATTGAGTGACTTTGATGGCGTGCTTTCTCTCTGTGCATCCCCTAGTTTTTTCATGTTTGCATCAAAGCTGAGGCTTCTGAAAAGCTGTCGAACGTGGGAGGGCTTTTTGGCCTTTTCTCCAACTGGACTCTTGGGAGGTGTTTTCAGAATTCGATTTGTCAGTGGGTCATAATACTTGAAAGAACACTGTTTGTATTTATACCTTACAGAGTCCTTGCTATCTGTGGAGTTTCGATTTTTCCTCATTTTGGAAGTATCTACAGGTTTACCTTTACACTGTTTTACCTCTGGGCATGAGAGTACATACACCACTGTCTTGGGCTGTACAGGACTCATAATCTTGCTGTAGGACTCTGGAAGTTTAAGGGCACATAGTCTAGTTTTCATGTTTGGAGTTTTTTCATTCTCCAACCACGTGACGCTTGCTTTCTGATCAGCTGGATCAGATTCTCTTCTAGACATTTTCCTTTTTGCTACGGGGTAGTTCAATAGACTTGTTTGGGTGCCATGGCTGACTTTAACCACCTGGCACCTTGAAGCCAGGCGCCATGTCCTTTTCCTAGGCATTTTAAGTATTTGTGGTTTGCATAGTGTATCTGAGGCTAAAGATGGGTTATCAAAATCAGAGCCACCACTTAAAGCATCATTAAATTCTGGCAATGCTTTAACTGATGCACTTTCTGTTCTGTTACCCTCAATAACATTGATCCTTTTTTCATCCTTCTGCTTTTTTTTCTTCATTCTCTTCCCTGTACAGTTGGCTGACGATTCACTGTCAAAGTAGCAGCGAAAACGACCCTCCTTGAAATCGCGCACAAGTTCTTCAATTTTTATATCATCTTCATACATTATTTGAGACCAAGTCTTTCCCACAAAAGAAGGAGGCACATGAGGCAGAGCTGGAAGAACTGGTTCTTCAGTATGAACTACGACATCCTGTTTCACTGCTTCTGTTTTCTCTACTGACTCAGTTTTTAAGACAGAGCAGAGCTGTGTTCCATAGTCTTTATCTTGCAAACTTACTTGGACCTCTTTTAGGAATTCTATATCTTTTATAGCTGCCTTAGGTAAGTCTGTTCCTGCCTGTATTGGTGCATCACAGTCAAAACTCATTTCAGAGCCCTCTAAATTAGTATGGTCCAGAAGTGATGAAAAAGTTAAACAGGGATTATTCTCTTCTGTGATATAAATTTCTTCAGATGTAGTTTCATGGCAGTATTTCAAAATTACATCTTCAATAGTTTCATCCACTGAACTTCCATCATCTCTGTTTGTCTTCACGTTTTTGCATCTTGTTAATTGTGGGGATGTCCCAAGATGTAAGGAGCTGCTGATACCCACAGTATCCCTGAGATGGAGATCAGACACCAAAGTTTCATCCTGAGTTCGTAAACTATCTCGCTTTGAGAGAGATTGACCTGAGGTAATAAATAAAGAATTGCTGTGGCTGCATGTAGGATTCTGATGAGAAACTGAAGGGCGTTTTGGGTGAGCCAGTGCTGGAGCAGGATTCAAGCATGGGTTCAATAACACATCACTACTGCAGGCCTTTGTTGCCCTTTCATCACACCGACTACGGAGAAACAGATTTGATGCTGCCAAATCCCTAACATTTTTTCCTGTTTTAGAATTAACAGAAGAACTGTGGATTATAGGACTGATGGAAAATTGCTGAGGTACAGGGCTCACAGCTGTAAACTGACCTTCATGGTTATGATTTGCATTTTTCAGAGTAACCCATTTCTTATCGCTACAGATGCCAATAGACTTCTGGGATATTCCTGGAACATGCTCCTGGCCTCTTTCTCGTTTTTGAAAAACTGCTTGTGTTACAAAAGTTTTCTTTGTGCCCTCATGAGACAGGCATGGAGCAGAAGAGTGTATTTCACCAATGGACTCCTTGTCTTTGCTGGAAATCTCCTGTGTGTCACTGTTTCTCTTTTTCTGCATCTCTGTTGGGGTCAGGCAAGAAATCCTAGGAGCCTCCAGAGTGATGGGGAGTGGTATGTCATCGTATGTTGGTCTAAAAGGGAGGGAGGGAAAAAAAAAAAAAAATCAGCCTATATAAATACTGTAAATATACTTAAGATTTTTCAAACAATAGCAGTGTATGGAGGGTTTAAGAGTAATTACCTAGAGTGCATCACTTCTAACAAACAAACTCAAATTACCAGCTCTGCTACATTAGCAGAGATCGTGAATTTTAAAAAATTATGGAGAGGGAAAGGGGAATGTTCCACAAAGCTAATTTGGCATTAGTCTGTTACCCTCTTCATGATGCCATCAATTAAGAATGGCCAAAAATAGATTACAATAATTTTATAAATACAGCAAAGGAAGAAAATGTAAAGGTATTGCCTTTGGTTGAAGTTGTAGACTATAAAGAGGTTACTTCACTGGTCATCCTATCATTAACTAAAATTGAGAAATTGAAAAAATTCTTTTGTAGAGAAATGGAACATAATAATACAACACAGTATAAAACCGCTATTGAGCATAAATGCCCTTTTCCCTACAAAACATGGATGCCTGATAGGAACCCTGCACATGTTGCCAAGGAATTCCATGTTTACTGTTTCTCTCGGACATACCACAGCTTCTGACTCACTTCTATAAGAAGCCAAGTTCTGATTGTTCAGCCCCACTCTGACAACAGATGTTAACATATTCTGTAACTGGCAGTTCTGTCTTTAGGACTGCCTCGAATACAAAGGTTTGCATCTTGTAGAATTAACACAACTGACAGATAACGACTGTTTCTCTTATGCAATACAGGAACCCACAGGGCTTCGTTATGTAGCAGCTGGGCAAATCCAATTAAAATAATTTTAAAAATACGTAAATATAACCAAAGAAAAGAATATTATGTTTCATTTGAAAGTTATAACGAGACTTTGTGAGACACAAATGGATGCTTATTTTAATAAATGGCAGACATCAGATAACAGAAATATCATGAACAAATTTCATTGCACAGGAATTTCCTTAGTTATATAACTCAGAGTACATACAGCTCAGGGTTATAGGACTGAGTGAGCAAGAGAAACTTCATATAATGAAACAGTAAAAAGAGGATTATTTCTATTACTATATAAATGCAAAGTAATCAAACACATTAGATGATCAAATAATGCCTGCCAATTGAACTGCTGTGCCCTACTGTTGCATGAATACTTGGCCACCTAAGCTCTGAAACAGGACCTAAGGGGAAGGCCAAAGGCAGTAAAAATAATTCTTTAACTTTCTCACTTAAAAGTTCTTCCATCTCTGTGTGAAACACCTGGCATCTGGACACTCCTGAAAGACTCAATATAGGACTAAATGGATTTTGATATAAATAAAATATAACAAATGTATAGGTTTATAGCTCAGTTAACAACCTACATCCACTTTTCAAAAATAACTTATAAGCAAATGTCTCTGGGGCAGAGGAAACAGAACTACAGTTTTATACAGTTAGGTACTTCTGATAGTTTTGCTACAAATTACCCCCAAAGGCAGAGGAAAGATTTACTCTCTTAAATGCTCAGTATTATTTCTTTATGTAAAAAACTTATACACCAAGAGTTTGGAGGAAGGAATGATTTGGAAGTTTGTGTGTATCTGGTTTTGGTTTGGTTTGTTTTTTTTTACTGGGGGAGGGACAGAACAACAACATCCTTTGAAATTCGGTATAAGGCAAAGCTCTGATGAATTTTTCCACATAACTACTAGGTATACTGGTTCTGCAAAACAAATCAAGTCTAAGAAATATTTCCATAATCTTTAAAATGACACTCTCAAGATCCCTTGTGTGAATTCAGCTAAATAGTAAAAACAGTTATTTAAAGAACTGAGTGTAAACTGTATAATAATCCAAGAGTTTTAATGTGAAAGAAGAGAATCCAATCCTTACCTCAGATATCAGTTAAGACCATGACTTTTGTTTCAGAGCAGGACCACAACATAAATCTATTCCTCGCTTTTCCATCTTTGCTTTTCTTCCTCCAAACTCTGTCTAGATTTGGGATTACTCTTCCCTCTTCTTCCTCCAACTTCATCTAGATTTTGTACATTATTTTTCTCATTCCATTCCTTCTTCCAACAACTTAGAGGAACATGGGTAGCTTGTTTTCCCTAGTTAGTAGGTTTCATTCACCAAAGGAATAACCTTGTATTAGTGACACCTCGAGAGAGGGCTTTTTTCATTTGGATGTTGCCTTAAAGTGAATCTTATATTTTCTCCATGGTAAAAAATTGTGGATGTTCTTAAGAGGTTGGGTTTGAATTTATTTCTTGAAGATGGAAGGATTCATTTATTTATCTGTAGTGATGTGTATATGCCCTGAGCTAATTTGGTACAGACATGCATATTAACTTATTTTGTCACATCCTTGATAATATCAATATGACTGCATTCAGACAAAATAACCTTCTATTCTACCTCATTTTTCTAGAATGAGATTTATTTTCTTTCATCTACAGAGAAAAACCTAACACTTATCACTCTTAAAACATGCACACGATAAATAAAGAGAACACTTTTCAAAATTTGAGCATTAATTAATTGGCCAATTAATGTAATTCAAGTATTAACTGAACATGTGAACTGCAAGGATGATAAAATAAACATGTAAATATTTACCTGAAGTTATCCACAAACAACAAACAAAAATAATGAACTCTTTCAAAACATACCATAAAATACACTGCTAAACATGTATATCAAGCCCAGAATAATAATATTTATAATAAAATATATAAAGCTCAAATTATAAGAATTTGTAAATGCATATGAGATTGTACAGTCTGCCATTACACCTGTTCACCCATATACTCCATCTTTTTTTAGGTCTTCACACTTAAATGCTATCAGTGGTGTTGTCTCAAATCCTAAAGTAGTGAAAAAGTTTAAAAGTGAAGAGACAACACAAAAGCAATACACTTGCATGATGTTTACCTAAATACACTTTTTTCTAAATTGTCTTCATTGAAAAAGTTTCACCTCAAATGGGCAAAATTTACTGGTCAGAAGTATAAAAGAAACAGGAATTTGTAATACATGCATTTGAACAACATACACTAAAAACAAAAAAGCCATCTGTATTATACCTGTTGTCATGGTATCTGTGAGGATGATGCTGTAAAACATCTTGCAGAAAACGCTCCATCAAGCTACTGGTACCTGTACGATTCCTACAGTATGTGGTAAAATGTCTGTGCTGGGAGCTGAAAACATGCTGGTGAAAGATAAAACATGATTAGTCTAATACTACTGTAAACACACTGGCCTATTCCTAAAAATTACTTCCCGGGTTAAATCTTTGCTATGAAAATATTTAAATAAAAAGAAAAGTCTTCAGCCTTTTCTACTTTACAGCCTCAATTAATAGAGATTTTTAAGCAGGCTTAGGGAGTCTCAAATAATACTAAAATGTATTGAAATGTCTTTCTGAGTTGGAACTTAAGTTAATGGTTCTGATAGGTGCTGACAAATCTCTTGAAAGTAGTACAAATGCTCTCACAAATCTCACAGCTGCTCACAGGTCTTTTAACTAGAACAAATACAATAAATGTTTCTATAAATGACTTAAAATATTCTTGAACTTCATATGAGTAAACATTCTATAATTCACTGTAATTAACAAGGATTTTCATAAGTGTAGAAGATTAAATAGGCTTCTACTTTCTAATAAAAAAAATCTAAAAGACAGGAGACTGATAGAGCTAAAGAACAGAAAACAGCTGATCAAATGTCTTCAGCCTTGATATCAAACATATTACTATAACCTTAATAATTTACAATACCTACAGAACTCAAGACTAAAGACACAGAAATAAATGTAATGGATGCAATGCACAGCAGTGCACCACTTCAGAAAAGAAGACTGCAGCAGCCATGCCACTTCACCGGCATCTTTTTAACAGGTAATAGACAAGAAGGCTATCTTTTTCTCAGTGCACACATTCTGCAATTCAAACTGCTTATTTTTCACTCAGTATTGGTTATTCAGTGTAGCAGCTGATATTTTAAAAGCTGATAATGCCTTTTGGTGCTCCTTGCTATCTGTTGCTGAACTGTGCAGAAGCCATCTCACCTGTTCCAGATTACTGTAGTGTACGTGGCAACAGTTGCAGTACCCTTGTCTATTTTGCACAGTGGATACTCCAGGCCAAGCATGTTCTTGCCCTCTTGCCTGTGAACTGAAAGAAGCACGCAATATTACCAAGACATGTTGGGTTATTTAATGCATGTCCTTAACAGGGAAATTCTAAATATCTATCTTACCACAGCGATGGAACAAACTTGCGAGATAAATATTTCTATTTCAGAATTGCAATGATAAGTAGGACCATGTATTTTAAGGTATTCCCAAGCAAATTTGGACAAACTTTTTCTTAAATGCAGAACAAAGGATAACAGCTTGAAGGCACAGTGGGCTGAAATCTGAGAAGAACTGCCTCTACAGGAAAAGGCAGAGTCATCTTCTCATTCTTCTATTTTTTAGTATTTTGGAAAAAAACAAAACAAAACAAAGACACCCGACACATATTAGTTTTGGGCACTACAGTGTACCTTCCCCATAATTTTTAATAGTGTTTGGTATAAGATACAGAGGACCTCCATCACACACTTATTGTGCCTCACTGTCATCTTTTATACAAGACAACAGATAAGGCTGAAAAGCAGATTCTTCCCAGTTTACCTTGGTAAGCATTAAGCTAGACACCAGTTAGATCATCACCTAACTTACCTGCTACTGCTGTCCTGTTGTAGAGAGCCTTCAGCACCATGTCTTTGGATTCCTACAGAAAAACAAAACCAAAACAACCAAAAAAATAAAACAACCAAACACACATACAAAACAAAACACTAAAAGCAACAGAATATCAAAGAAATTGAGACAGTTTACCTGCAACTAGCTACTTCTCTTGCATTGCATTTGTCAAAATTACTATTCTAAAGGAAGGTAAAAAGTTTAGTAAGTTCAAGAATCTTTTTGTTCTCAAAGTCCATCCAAGAGCTTCACTCTTTTGCGGCTGAGTGTGAATTTTTCTACTGATTTGTCTGGGTTCAAGACTAGGCAATCTACATTGGTATTCCTACATCCGTGATCACTGAGATAAAATGAAACATGTCTTAAACAGCTTATAACAGGACAAGACAATTACAGCTACATGGAAACTCTTTGGATGATTCAGGAGTCAGTCCTTCCATCCAAGTTCCGTAATGGAATTTAGGAAATCAAATTATGCAATATAAGTTGATCTAATGCTTATACTGATAATTAATTTTTTTTTAAGAGTAATTACGTCAAAAACATCTACTTTGAACTTCTTACCCTGTGCTGAAGAAGCAGAAGCTTCATCAGATCGTCTGATTCTGTCAAACATCTGTAAGCAAAAACCAAAAAAAACTAAGTTATAATAATAATTAATATTACATCTAACAATGTTAGCATTGCTAGCTTTTGCAATGTTAGCTTTGCTAGAAGGGCCTAACTTCTGATCTAATTAATGAAGTCAAATACTATACTTATGAACACAGCCCAGACTATGATAAGTTATTAAGCAATAACCTTGTCAAATTAATTTAATTACTTAATTTCCTAAGTTGCCTTTACAATTAAGAGATATATGCTAATAAAACCCATACGAGACCTACACCACACGACATACTCATCCAGGCTGGAAAAACAATCCTTATTGATCGAAAGATCTGCAACTCAAGTTGGAAACTCACAGTTTTTAATTCAAATACGACTGCAGCACCATGTGTTTACATGCTTTAGGGTATCCAAACCCAAAGGGCTTCCGAGTGTCACACAGTCCCTTCACATTACGGAATGGAAGCACAGAACCTACATACCTTAGACTCACCAGCCTTCTTCATCCACCAAAGCTGACTCCAGACTAGCAAACGATCAGTGTTGAACAGGAGGCCATTTGCAGTGCAGGACAGGGGTTTTTTTTCATCCCATCTGGCAACAAGGAAGTTAAAGAGCCTTTTAAAACAGAGTTAATAATGCATGTTTTCCACGCCCTAAGGCATGTAAATTTTTCTGTACCACTTTGCAAACATGTCAGTCGATAAAGTGGATAAATCTTTCTGAAGTCTGCAGTACATTCTTCTGTTTAATATGGAAGTTGTTTTGACAGTCTTTCCTACATAAATGTTAACCACTCCTTCTGGAATAACTTTGTTCCTTCTTTCTTCCTCGCAGCCCCCATGTCTTAAACATTATTGTCATTTTGGATGCTAGCACTCATGAAATAAAGTATACTGCTACAACAAGAGAAAACAAATTCCTTAATAGTAACCAAACTGCAATGAATCTATTTTGTAGATCATTCATGAACCTGCTCAGAAAAACAATGTCTTATTTTGCTTATGTTACATGAGCTAGTTAGATAGTGAATAATATCACAGTAGAATGGGTGTTCAAAGCATTTTATAATTTAATTATTATATACTCAGTGAAGTATTATCATTAGCATAACAGACAGGAAAACAGAAAGGCTACAATAACTTGCACAATCACTGTCACTAGCATCATCATATCCTGCTTCAAAACTCAGGGCTTAGCAAGTCCAAGATCTGCTCTTTGCTTACCATTTCTGTAATTATGTGATAACAAAGTTTCAAATCAACCACTTTTATTTTTTATCTTTTATAAACTGTCTTAACAAGACTCATTCCTTCCCTTCTCATTTTTTGTTCTCATATATGCAGAAAAGTTGCTCCTATATGAGGCTACATACCATCAAGCTTGACAGATGTGTGGTTTGTTACTTGCTTTCTTTAAACTTGTTTTGTTCTTTCCCAGACTACAAACTGCTCATTATAAAATACCTAGGTTGTTATAGCAGTTATGGTCAGAAGGAATATCACAGTAGCTCAACTTTAAACACACACACCCCCAAAAACCACAAAACAATCCACACAACCGAAACACCAGACTCATTCTCCTCCCCACAGTGTATCAATTTATGTAATAATATTAAAAAAACAAATAAGCAAGAAACCCCAGCTGTTCTTATAAACCTTCTCATCAGGCAACTGAGAAAAGCCTTCTTGATAGAACAACTTATCTCAGCCATCCTGTTATGTGTCCTATACACAGCCAGGATCCAAAAGAAAGTAAAGGAAAAACACAGAAGACTATCTTTCATGAATGACGCTTTGTGTAAAATAACTCGTTCTATGTGCTTGAGGTCAACTTATCAATTTTTTAAGTCTTACTGTGCACACATAATCTTATGACAAAGCTAAAAGTGTGGCAAGAGCACAGGAACTAGAGGAGGCACAGACGGGGCAGTCAGACAACGGTTCCACAGTCAGAAGCGGCTCCACAACCACTCATCTCCATCCACTGCCCCAAAAGGCAATTAAAGCACCTGATATACAAATGTCTGATTTCGTCTCAGAGATGCCAGGCAGTGGGAACTGCAGTGTGCTGGAGGATAACTAAGACAGTTCGTTACTTCCTTATTTCAAGGACTAATTTCAATGGTGGTGTGCTACTGAGAATTCATTCAAGTGCAATGCACATTTAAACTGAGTTAGGAGAAAAGTAACTTTAAACAGGACAGGACTATGAAAATAACTATACTGAACTACTCCAGTCTGGATCTCCTTGTCATCTTTTTACAGTTCAAGGAGATTCAATGGACCAGATTTTCTCACCTGGAGGGAGGTTGTGCTAGGTAAAAGCTGTAAATGCCCAGCTATTGCTTAGTAAGTGACAGAAAAACATCAGAGGAAGATCTTTCAGGGATATTCTCCTCTCGTACAAAGCTGCCAATAGAAGAAAACTTCTTCTCCTTATATCAGTTTTTTTTAAGAACACTAGCGTACAGGAAAAAGAAATAAGTCTGAACTCTATACACACCTTGCTTACCATCTGAAGTCAAGTTCAAACCACCAGATAGTAATGTGAAGGAAATCTGTTATGTAGACGCCTTATTTAATTTGACAAAATCTGGACAGTCTAACTGTAATCCTTACTTTTTCAAAACAGAAACTGCAGCTATTAATTCACAAATGATTTTTCAGATGTTCAGGTAAAGACTGCAGAATTCTACATTAGTTGAGATACTTTCCCCTATAAATATCATAAACTGTTTGATTAAAAGAGCAAATTATATTTGTTCGAAACTTAGCTTAACCATTTTTTCACCGAAAAAAAAAATCCTGTAAATTTTAACAAATGTGGAAACAACTGGATAGACACAGAAGTGTTTGATTTGGTAAATTTCTATCCAGGTTACTTTATCAGCTGTTTCCAACATCAGTGTTTTATTCTGGTTTTACTGAATTACACCGCACACAGCAGCCAAAGAATGAAATACCTCAGACAACCACATTTAAAAAGAAAAATCCACAAAAAGGCAACCAAAAAGCATGAAATGTACACATTAAAAAAAAAAACTCAAACCAAAACAAAGAACAAAAACAAAACAAAAAAAAAGACAAAAGCAGTGGTTATGACAGTATCTGAGTATCAAAGGCATGAGATAAACTCTCCATACAGCGTCACTCTTGCAGTGCAACAGGTAAAATAAAAAAGGTAAAAAGCCAATCAAAACTGCTCCTCGAAAAACGCCTCACGAAAGCCTGAAACGCCCCTTCACCTACGAGCGACTGTGCTTGGCAGAGGGAGAAACAGGGGAAAACTCTCCCCTAAACAAAGTGACTTGCCGTCCCACAGCACCACCACAATCAGGGAGGCTGTAACTCATTCCAGGAACGGCCTTTGCCCCACGGCCGCACCGCACCGCACCGGGGTCCCGGCCCCGCCGCGCCATGCCCGCCTCGCCTCGCCCGGTCCCGCGGGGCGGCGGTGGCGGAGAGGGCCCGGGCCGGGCGTGCGGAGGGGCCGGGGCCGAGCCCGGGTCTGCCCGCGCCCGCCGGGACCGCCGAGCGCTGAGGGGTACGCTGAGGCGGAACGCGCGCGCGAAGCCGCCACCGCTCCCTGGGCTGCTCCGGCCTCCCTTCCCGCGGCCGTCTCAACTCCATCATGCCCCGTTAGCTCCTTCGTGCCGCGCTGGGGTCAAAGGGACGCCAATCCTGTGCTTCCTTGCTCCGGTCGGCGAGCGCGCGCCCACGCGACAGGGCAATGGCCGGGACTGCGGGTTCCCGCGCAGACGCTCCCTGCATGGCGGCGGCTCCTCCCGCCCTCAGCGCCCGGCTCCGCCCGCCGGCGCTCCTGGTGCCGTGCCATCTGTTAGCGCGGCTCACACCAAGCCCAGAAAGCTCCAGTTACTTCAGAACACTGCGGGGCGGCGTCTTTTTGTCAGCCCCAGCTGAGGTGATTCTGGTTGGGAAGTAACCTTTTGTCAGCCCCAGCTGGGGTGATTCTGGTTGGGAAGTAACCTCTTAGCTAAGTTTCACTTCAACAATTGTAATAGTTGTTTTCTCCTTCAAAATGTGTTATTCCACGTGCTTGAGAGCAGGCTGTAGGGTTTACCCTTTTATTTAATTTTCAGCCGTTAAAAGTAGCTTGTTTTTCACAGCGTGCCTTGTTTAGGTAGGCTTTACCAGAAAGTTACAGTCTGACTTCATCAGAGTTAATTATGCTAGATCAGCTTTTCTTATAAGTGGGCTTGAGAATGCGATGTTAGCTCGAGTTCTCTTATTTTCAGCTGTAGGTTTTTGAACGTTTATCTAATCTCCCGTGGGAAAGCAGCTATTGCATATTTCTCTCGTTATGCTGAAGCAGCAGGAATTTTTAAGCAATCTGGGCAGACACAAAGTCAACACAACACCCTTATGTGTGAAGACAGGTGCAGATACAGGCTTGGATTGTGCAATGGGGGGAAAACAATCTCGAATGCGCTTTAATATCGAAAATTTAGAGAGGCTCTTCTGTGGTTATGAAACCATAGCTTGGAAATGTCCACCCACGCTCAAAAAGTAATTGAACACAAATCTCAAATGACAGATGAGCAGGAGAAGGCTTCTCTTTAGGAGGGCTGAATTTAGTTGCTGTTGAATTCTTTTAATATGTGCAGAGGTATGAATATATCTTTATTGCTCAAAAATTATTATTATAGGTCTAAAGTTGCCTGATGATATTTTGTTGCCTATTATAATACACAACTTGGAAAAACAGCAGCTTTCTGTGGAGAACATTTACATGCATGAAGGCTCAGGCACGTGCCCAAATGCATGTCAGCACAGCTGCATTGTTTAAACATGTGGCAAACACATATATAGACATGTTATCTGAGGTTAAAATAGTTTAATTTTATGGTGGTTTACAGTAGGCTTAGTGAGTTACTGTGGCTCGGCTAACCCTTCATAACTTGTTGAAACAAAGTAAGCTTGGTTACATAGCTGAGACACTGACGTTTCTTTTCCAGAATGGCTGATGTAGAACATAAGTCCTTCTTAGCAAAGACAAAGCACTATACAGTCTGTCTTATAATGCCATATAACTTCTCCTCGGAATGTTCCTGAATATTTTGCATTCTATTACATGGAATGTAATATTCTATGTCTTGGACTGCCACTCAAAGTTAGCAGAGCTTAGGCTTGTGTTGCCAAGTATTTCTTGGCTTTCAGCTCTTTCTGTATTTATGAACTTGAGGTTGCACCGTGATTCAAACTCAGTTAAGATATTGAGAGATACTCCTTTACCTCAGTCTCCTCTTCCCCCCTAGGAAACTACTCCTCAATACATGCATGAACACTGAGTAGGGCTGACAAACTTCCTTTCCCCTTTAAAAATTATTCTCTCTCCTGGTCTGACTTTTCTCACACTATTTTCTCTTTGGTGGTATCTTTAGTTATCTACTGAGTTTCTATAAACTGCCCCATATACCTTTCACTGCTTTGCTTTCTACTTCCACTTTGATTTGTTATGTTTTTCACTTCCATTAGCCAAATATAAGTCAAAGGTGTACCTGTTAAAACATTAAGATAAATTGACAAATGCAGACAACAGCTATTTTCCTCAAGAGTCTCAAATTTCT